GTTATAATTAAAATGTATCATTGTTTCTTCAGTTCCCACTGACAACAAGATTATGTGGAAAATTGAATTATTTAACAATTATACAACATGTTTTGAATAATATTGATACACAACACAATAAAACATTTATTTAATGAAATGTTTAAAGAGGTGGGATTAGTGCGCAAGATTCTGTTTAAATTCTCCTGAAACTTGATCTGCGCAGACAGCAGCCTCATCTTTAACATGTGTTCTTCCACGTCCCTCTCCTCTTTACTCTTTAAAACTTGAATTTCCAATCTGTATTTTTCTTCAATAGAAGAAGCAGCTTTTTGGGCTGCAGAGGGGGCAGATTTTTTCGTTCGCTTTCTGAACATGGAATATGTGGCTTTTGCAGGAGTTTCCTCCGTTCCTGCCACTGGTGTTGGAGGACTTGGCGTTACGGTCACACCATTCTGTGATTCTTGATCCTGTAATATTCAAAGTAAATTTGACACAGTGTTAAATTACGTGAAAATTAAATGCAGATACATACTTTATTTTCTAGTGGTTTGTTAAGATATTCGTCAACACATGATTTATTTCCGTTATGATTTATAGTAATGCAGAGATTAATAACTGTTTTTTAAATATCGATAAAATATTTTAAAAAGCAAATTAATTCTATTTTTGTTCCACTTTTTCTTTCACATTAGATTGATTTATTCACTAATTTAAAACACTGTGGATTTATTCACTAATTTGAAACACTGTGACAAATAGCCAAAATTTGAATAGCAATTTCTTTCAATATTAGAAAATTAATACTTTTCCTTGAAACGGTACTTTACTAAATAAATCAACTTGGTTTAAATTCGAGTAAGTAATAAAATTTTTGTTTGAGAAACATTATATGAGTTGCGTAATAAAATGAGAGTAACAATGTATTGGTAAAAATGTTAAAAAACTTTAATATAAATAACAAATCTGACAAACTAAAAAAAAATTTATGATTTAAAGGGGACTGCTACCCTTACACGCAGCAGCAAAGGGTGTAAAATCCACGCAACATATTAAAATTCATCCCAAAATGAAACATCCTTCTTTTTTGGGGGGGGGGGATATCTCTTTTTTTCACTTGAAAATTACAAGACCACTACTTTTAATTCTTTCAGTCAAAATTTAACTTGTCCGCAATTAGCATTATAGTTTTCCATTCTTATAACCAGTATTTACAAAATTAATGGAAAATAAATGCATAAAACAAATCAAATTTAAAAGAAATTTTCTAAATAATTCTTTTGTATGAAATAAACACAAAAGCAGCAAATAAATGAATTATATACATTGCAAAGCCTTTTAGTTTTAGCATTAAAGTACATGAATGACTGATTCAATATATATTACAGTGCCAAGGACAGCTTTTAAGTTTTTACAAAGTCTGAGCCATAAATAAATTGGTTTAGAAAAGAATGATTTCACAGCCCCAACATATTTCAAGGTAAAACAAAAACTGAATAGTTAATGAAATTTTCCTTAGATGCTGAAAACCTTAGCTGCGCCATTGAAATTAAGCAATGCAAATATATTATACATATGTAGCATAATAATTACGAGGCATAATTATTTAATTCAGAATTATTTGCTAACAATAAAAACAATACTTACTACTGTTTCATCTAAAGCCTCACCATCTATAGTAAGAATGATTTCAGGTTCAGCTTCACCTAAAAATTAAAAAAGCACACTGATTAGTAATATTCAAAGAGCTTAACATTTAAGAAATTCATTAAATCAAAAAATTAGAATCGCCTAGGCCCAATAGGTTCGGGTCAAGGGCCCTCAAAAATTGTAAAAAGTCCACAATATTACTATTTTTTTTTTAAATACTGAAAAAAAAAACAGCTTTTATCAAAAAAATGCAATTTTTATTTCAAATTTTCTTTATAGTGTGATAAACAAACCAAACTCGTGTAAACATTGCAAGAATCAAATTCAAAAGTACATCGAAATTTGAATTGGTGCAATTTTTACGTCAACGGCTTAAGTGAATGCACTTAATATGAATTTATATTTAAATGAATTATTAGTTAAATGAGTTTTTAATTTTCTATGAGTAGATATAATTTTGACCCTTTTGGATATTTTTTGCGTGTATTTTTTAATAAAAATTATAATTAATAACCTTAATATCTTAGCATACATGCTGAACTTATCCTTAAATCTAATGAAAAGTCGGCTAGCTTTGTGATGGTTTAAGTACTAAATAAAAAAATAATTACAGCTTACAATAAAAAGCAATCCAGCTAATCAGTGACTTTTAGCAATGCTCACTGATTTCAATTGTTTGTGGTCCCCAAACTATTCTTATGTTGGCACAACATTGTTTTGCTATTTTATATTTTGCTTTAATATTCAGAGGTGTAAACTTCATTTTAGAAAAATAATCTTCAATAGTCTGTTTTCAAAATTTCTTAGAATGTTTCTCTTGAATCATGCAGTTCAATAGGTTCTTTTTTATTATTAGAACTATTCTTCAGAAATTTAATTTCAAAATATTTTGTAAGGGGCCCGATAAATTTGGTGGGCCTTGGGCCCACAATGTCCCCACGATTCTGCCACATGGATCTCAACAAGAAATAAAACATAGCTTAGTAGCAGGGTTGGGTTTTTGACATGACAGTGGTAAAAACCGTGTTTTAACCGGTAAAAACCTACTGTTTTCTTTAATTCATGGCATATAGCAGGCAATATATTATTTTCACATAATTGCCTTTACAAATGAATGTTGCAAATGATTGCTATTGATTCTGCAACTATATACATGTATTCTTATCGAAGGATATACATTCATATAGAAATATTGTAATATACTTATTGAAAACAGTGATACTTACTTTTATCATTGTAGCTTGATTTGCAAAGGATTCAAAATTTTGCACTTCTTAATTGTTAGAAATAAACAAACAAACAAAAAAGCTTGGAACAATATATATATTATCTCATTTNAATTTTGTTTAGTATCCTAATATTTTACTTCAAATACTAGTATGTTTTGATATAATCATGTTGGGAAAATGCAAGAATCTGTTCTTAAATATCTTTTAACAACTTTTTTTCTAATCTCATTGCCCAAAAAATGAATTAATTTTAAATTATAAGCAGTTAAACTCAAAAATACAGTTTTACCAAAACTATGGGTTTTTGACATGACGGTAAAAACCATCACGTGTCAAAAACTTGCCAACCCTGCTTAGTAGTTTATCATCATAATAAATTCAAATATCTTATGATGACATGTGAGATTAGCATGAAACCAATAAATTATAACACAAAATAACAAGGCTTTTATAGAAATATCTACTCATTATACTTAAACGATTTCTTGAGCATGAATTTTCAATAAACATCATCCACGTACAGAAAAATATTGAAATTTGACCCTCATATGATTTTTTATATTTAAAAATTAGTATGATAGATAAAACAAACAATAATAACAATCAGATATATAGAATTAAATGTGCTAATTAGTTCCACTAGGATATAAATTAAATTGAGTGAAGTGTTCAATGGTTAAAATATTTTTGAATTATATCAAATGGCACTCTGAACTCATTCGATATATTTCAATAAAATTATTAACTATATTGATATTTTACAATCAGATAAAAAAAAGCAGAGAATCGAAATTTACACTTTGCATTTTATAACTTCGTTTTTATTTTTCAAAATAATAACTAAACTTGCATCTATTGAAAATTACTTTACAAATTATTCATAGAGCGCCAGTATAAATATTCTCTGAACATTAATTTTTAACACATATGTTATAACTCAAAATTATAAAATAATACTTACTTTCTATATCCATGTAATCATTATCGTAAGTTGATCTTAAAGGATAGGTTAATAGAGGCATAGATAAATAACGTTCATCCATTTCCGTTAACTGGGGGCATACATTTTCTCCTCCCCCAGTTAACCTGATATGCTGCCTCGCGTTAGCTGCTTTTTTATTCAATTTTTTTTATATTTAAATAACACTGTCTCAACTGTATTGCAGTTCGAGGATTCACTCCAGGAGTTTTGTTAAACTCCTTCTCAATTTCGATAAAAGCTTCAGCTTTTTTTCCTGATGAAATTTTGTTTGTTTCTTTGTTTTCTATAATTGAAAGCTTCGGCTCTACTAGCTGCATCAGCAGTTCTTTCTCAGTTGCTGTAAAATATAATTTTTGCGACATTTTAATGCAATAGAAGTAAAGATGAAAAACTACGAGTAAGCGAGCATGCCACTTCTGGAGTAAACAAACAACGTGGTTATCACGTGTTTCTTCGTATCCAATAGGAAAATGCCTGTAACTGCCGGTCAAGTAACCCGCAGTTAAGAAACCGACGGTCAGAAAATAATGATGGAATCGCTTTTGAACTCTCGGTGAAAGTTTCCAAACCGGGGGGTTTCGGAACTGGCAGTTACTCGTTAGGTCAGAGTCAACGGTGAATACGGGGGTTAGTCAACAGCTCATTTCTCAGAGAAAAGTTGACAGAAAAGAAGAAAGATCATCCGTTATACGAGTATTTCCTCAACTTACCACGTCTAGTCGATCCAGTGACCGTTCATTCTGATAAAAGTGTTGGTATTCAAGACTAGGAGAAGTGCTACAATATAGTGATGATTAAATTTGATGAAGCAGTCCTCCTCAAGAAAATTACTACTTGCCGAAATGGAAATACCTACACGAGATGCATATCTTTGAATGATGACAAATGGGACAAAATATTTTCCCTTGGAGATTTTCTACTAGATAATCTATTTCATTTAAAGTATAACCAACTGGACTTTAGGAAAATGTTTGAAGATCTATTAAAACATCCAGCACCATCAACAGCTCCTGAAGACGATGGGACTATCACCAAAGTGTTAAGACACCTCCTGAAGACTGAAATTTACAAATTGCTAGCATATCAAACAGGCTTATTGAATCCTATGGAAGTAAGCCCTTCAGAACTTTCAAGTAATACTCGAGTCCTGTTTTGTGAATCTGCTTTGAACTTAAAGCCTCATATGTTTGTCAAAAGTTTTTATAATACTGTTAAAAATGAAATGCGTCATCCTGTCTTCATAAAAAAATCAATTGAAATCCACGGGCATGCACCCGATTTTGATAAAATTAGGAGAAAGGAATTCTGCAACACAATGAAGAACAGGTCAAAAGAAGAATTGTCGGAGGCAGTACCAAAAATATATAGGTAATTAATTTACTTTAATAAATATTATTCTTTTTTTTATAAATAACAGTGATCATCCAATGTTTTACCCATTTACTCGTTAGACTTAGTTCAGATAGCATGCAATCATTTTATAAAGATCCTAAGCAGCCAGCTAGTTTTGGGGGTGCGGATGCAATACATCGTGCACTCAAAGGAAAAGAGAATGCAAATACCGTTAAGAAGTGGCTCTCTTTTAAAGATTCTTATACACTGCATAAACCTGATAGACGCAAATTTCAACGGAATCGTGTTTTGATGAGTGATATGAACAGGCAATTTCAAGTCGATTTAGTCGACATGCAATCTCTTTCTAAATTCAATAAAGGGTATAAATACTTATTAACGTGTATTGACGTTTTCGCAAAGTATGCTTGGGCCATACCGCTAAATGATAAAACGGGAAAAAATGTAAAAGTAGCCTTAGAATCCATTTTTAAGGAACGAAAGCCTGAATTACTTCAATCGGATCATGGAACAGAGTTCAAAAATAAAACAGTTCAACATTATTTGAAAAGCATGCAGATTAAATTTTTTACAAGAAATAATTCTACGAAATCAAGTATTGTGGAAAGATTTAATAGAACATTGAAAACAAAAATGTGGAAATATTTCACAGAATTCAATACTAAGAATTACATCGATGTGATTGATCAATTAATATGGAGTTACAATCACACTCGACATAGCAGTATTAAAATGGAACCAGCTTCCGTTAATAAAAGCAATACNTAAGCAGAAAAGAATCATCTTGGAAAATTTGTATGGAGATTTGAAGACATTAAAACGCAATCCAATTGTTTTTAAAGTAGGAGATACAGTACGAATCAGCAGACTGAAAGGTTATTTTGAAAAAGGATACGAACACAACTGGAGTCAGGAAATATTCACTATTCATGAAATTATTCCTCGAATTCCTGTTGTTTATAGATTAAAAGACTTACAAGGTGAAGAGATCAAAGGTACTTTTTATAAAGAAGAATTGCAAAAGGTAGTAGACTCTGGCTTCTATCCGGTAGAAAAAGTGATCTAAAAGAGAAAGAAGGGAGGAAGCACAGAATAGTTCTTTTTAAATAAAGCGAAAGCGAAGTGAAGACTCATTCTCGAAAATGTCTTTCTACGTGACGTTACCTTCTGATAGCTCCATGCATTTTTTTCCTAACGACAAAATCTCTCATTTTAAGACGCAATTACCGATACCAGTTAATCTAAACTGCGAATGGGAAGTAGGCCTATCTGAAATCATCTATCCCCATTCTTGGCTAAACGTAAGTGAAAGTAACAATTATTTTCAATACAAGATAAATAATGGTAATATCGTATCGACTGTAAAGCAAACAATTGATGTGGGGTGTTATGAATCAATGTTCGATATTGTATCAGCTGTACAACTTGCTTTACCTAAAAATCCTAGCCGGTTTACAATAAAGCAACGAAACGAGTAAAAATTAACGCCGTTCAAGGTTGCAGCCTTCATTTAGAAAAGTTAGGAGAATTGTTGGGTTTTCGACGCGATGCAGTGATTACGGGTAACCAGAAAAGCGAATTTGTGGCTGACGCGTGGTCTAATTTTTCAGTTTTCTATGTGTACACAGATCTTATTTCACCTCAAATTGTCGGAGATACACAAGCTCGTTTACTGAGAATGGTTCGAATAAAAGGACATGATGGTGAAACAATCAGTCAGTATTATGATAGACCTCAATACTTACCTTTAATGAGACACTCCTTTCAAACTATTCAAATGGAGCTCAGATTGAATTCAGATGATTTCGTACCTTTTGAAAGTGGTAAAGTGATCATAGTTTTACATTTCCGCATGAAACAAATACTATAAATAGTACGATGCGTTTTTGAAACATTCATTAGAAGAGAAGACGTCAAGATGAGTGTACCGTACGTTTGTTGTACTAAAAAATTCGAAGAACATTATGCGAGTCAAATTGGCTCGTGTTTGTCCTATTATAAAGGTATTAATTTCCAAAAAGGATATGGACTTGGAGGTATATTTCGTCGATTATTTAGAGCTGCACTACCCTTTTTAGTAAAAGGAGGAAA